TTATCTCGACAAGCCAACATTTTTCAGATTGATAAAACAATATCTCTGTTTCTATTATCAAACCCTTGTCGAACCCACGCTTCTCTCACGATACAACATCTCTCACGGGCATTTGGTCGAACAGATTCTGTGCTTACCTACCATTAATGGATCGACTCTCATGGAGAAAAGTTACCACCTTTCGAAAACCCTTGAGCTCTGTTCCAGCATTTGGTTATATGAGTGAGTAATATACATGACTTTGCACCGACGGAACCTGAATCGTTGAGAAATGACTCGACTTGCCATCTCCTAAAACCATCAATCTATGTAACGTGACGTAATTAGTGTTTCAAAGGTTCTCTACTCAGTGGTCTTTACTCTTTAGAGTCTCTGGGACATATACTAAAACCAAAACTCATTGAATTTGTAAATCATTTGGTTACTCAAAAACACAAAACAGATCATACAATCAACACTAGATTTTAAAGCAGAGGGTTTATTGGGCTTTTGCAAAAGTATGAGGCCCATTAATAACAAAATCATATAAATCTTTTTTGTTTGTTTGGTCACAACAAAATCATATAAATCTAAATTACATAATCTAAAGAGGGTTTAGGCTTGTAAGTAATTATCGGAGGTTTAACCCTGCAGCCGCCTTCTCCAGAGATCACAATGACGAAACTGAGAGATCTTCCAAAGGATTTGGTAGAGGAGATACTCTGTTGGGTTCCGGCGTCAAATCTGAAACGATTGCGACCAACTTGCAAACGATGGAACCGTTTATTCAGAGATGATAGAAGATTCGCAGGGAAGCACTTTGGTAAAGCCGCAAAGGAGTTTCAGGCTCTCATGTTTACCAAGGACTACACGCTCTGTCCGATGAGAGTCAATCTCCATGGAATTGTTCCATCTGTAGAGGTAAAAAGTGAGCTTAGCCTAGTCGATCCTCATTCTAAGGATACAGCTCAGTTCGATATATGTCAAGTGTTTCACTGCGACGGCTTATTGTTATGCACCTCTGAAGATGAATCTCGAATCCTGGTTTGGAACCCGTGTACTGGGGGATCCTGGTGGATCGACGCCGGCTTACGTCCTAACAAAGGCCGCACCTTTGTTCTCGGGTACTGCCAGGACAACAAATCATGCACCAAGAGCTACAAAATACTGAGCTTTTATAGTTGTGGCAACGATTCAGCAATCTACGAGTTTAGCTCTGATTCATGGAGGACTCTTGCTCATGATATCGCTCTAGGCTGGTCCTTGTCCTACTCTCAGCAGTGCGTGTCTTTGCAGGGAAGTACTTACGTGTTTGCTACTAGGAACAAGAAGGCACCTCGGCCTATCCTTGCTCAGATTTGATTTTTCAACTGAGATGTTTGTACCTGTGCCTCTTCCATGTAACCAGCCTGGTTATGTAGCTACAAGTCTTTCCGTTGTTAAAGAAGAGAAGATTTCAGTGTTATTACAACGCCATCGTACATCCAAGACTGAGATATGGTTGACAAATAAGACTGATGAGACCAAAGTGGTGTCGTGGAGCAAGTTCTTAGCCTTGGATTTGAGCAGTCATGATACTCTAATTTCGGATGGTGTAACTTTCTTGCTCGACGAAGAGAAGAAGGTCGTTGTGCTATGTGACATAAAGATACACGACAAAGATAAGTGCAAAGACATGGTTTACATTGTCGGGAAGGATAATAGAGTCACGCCTGTGGATTTGGGAGAAGACACAATGGATTCAGGTTGGCCAATTATTCTTAATTATGTTCCAAGTTTGGCTCAAATCGATGGAGCTGGAGGCGAAAAGAAAAGGGCTCTTTGACTGAATAAGCTCTACTTGTAATCTCCTCTCTTATTTTTCTGTGTTTTTTTTTAATTTATCTTGTTAACCTTATTTGAATAATCCTCTCAACTGATATGATATTTCATTAAGATGCAGTTTCACCAGCCCAGTAGTGTTCCTTGCTTTAAAACAGTTCTATGATATTATGTATTATGTCTAAAGAAGAGAGAGTTTTCAAATTTCAAGCTTTTCGTGATTCTAAAAACATGTACCGAGGCTGTCTCTGCTTCTGAGTTCAGACATTGCCCCTGTGTTCAGACAATGGGGTTGCACCGATTGGTTGTTCTAGGTTTCCCCTGAAGTTCCTGTGTCTTTGTCGAGATCTCTTGTGACTTTGTCCATTGAAGTTCTTGTGTCTTTGTCGAGATGTACCACTGAAGTTCTTGGGCTGTCGTCTTCGCTGCCACTGTCGTCGCTGTCGTCTACATGATTGTTGTCGGCTGGATGATTGGCTTTCCACATTCTTCAACTTTTCTGCAGTAACTCTTTTTCATTATCGTGCAGACATTTTGCGCTGTCCTATACTTAGGCGGCAAACCTCGGACTGCCAATTCAAAGTCCTCATTCATTTTCTCGTCCCATTTAAGTCTGATAGTCTTCGGCCTCTTAACCGCTAAATGCTCTGATTTCAGAGCCTTTTCTTCTGCAACAAAAGAAAATGATAGCTCACTCTCAGGTAGCACATTCATGATATATGGTATATTTTCCTCGGTGGGAGCCAAGAACTTCAGTTCTGCTTGCAATGGGAAGATTTGAGCCGATACCGCAAGGACAGCTTCCACTTCCGGGGAAGTATCAGAGGTGGCTGCTTGTAAAGGAAGATCATGGTAAAAGGGGTGAAAATTCACATTCTTCTGGCCTGATTCTTTCAAGATCATCTCAACGATTTCCTGGCGATGTACAATATTTGCACAAACCATTTTTCAGCAGCCTCGTAAGCATTGTCTGCCAAAACAGAAAACATTTCAAGAAAAAAACAGCTCAAGTAAACTGAAAACATTTCAAGAAAAAGCAGCTAAAGTAAACAGAAAACATTTCAAGGCTACACAGTCAAGAACACGCTAATAGTCGTCACTGAAGTTTGTAGCTGTAGCTAGAAACAAGTGAGCTTGTAAAATGAATAATGTATATAACAATAATAATATAAATAAAGTTATGTCTATTGAGATTACACAAGAAAGAAATTGCAAGCAAGCAACAAAACAGGCTACAATCTACACATCTCAG